CCTCCGAGGATGCTACATTGTGGCATCCAAACCTGACGATAGGCAGAAATACATGTTGAAGACTTTCTGGTGTTGAGACAAATGGGGGCAAGGTGGGGGGGCATCCCCAGCCATCTTATTTAAAAGTTATTTTACCTTGCCTTTTCCTTCATAAAGATATACCCCTAAGATGTCAGGCTGCATTTGAACCTGCCCTAAGTTATTAAAAGGTACGCCTCAAGGTTGAAGCGAGCTCCTTCTCTCAAAACAGACCAAGCATGTGCCAAGATGTGAGACAAAGTATGCTAGGTTCAGATATCTCCTCTCCTTCTCTGCCCCTCCAGGGACACCCCTGCCCCAAGCCATTAGGCCCAAAGAAATAATATAAGCCTGGTAAGGGCACTGCCAACACAAAATAAATACTACTGCTAGTCTTCAGGAGACCTCTAAGAAGAATTTTCTTTTTTAATATTTTATTTATTTATTCATGAGAGACAGAGAGAGAGAGAGAGAGAGAGAGAGAGAAGCAGGCTCCATGCAGGAAGCCCAACATGGGGCTTGATCCCGGGTCTCCAGGATCACACCCTGGGCTGAAGGCAGATGTTCAACCACTGAGCCACCCAGATATCCCTCTAACAAGAATTAATGGTGTTTTCTACTTGACAGAAAAATTCCTGTATCTAGCCAACTTTTTGTGTTCTAGCACCCCAGATGAGGTCTGGGGTTCACATTGAAGTGGATGACTCCACATAGCCACTGATCTACCTGGGTTTCCTGTGTATGCGTGTGCGTGTGTGTGTGTGTGTGTGTGTGTGACAGACAGACAGACAGACAGACACAGTTATCAGTTTGCTCTCCCCGGGGTTGAGTGCCAGTTACCCTGACTGTGCTCCTCGGTCCCCCGTGCTGCAGACTCACACAAGCTGCTTCTGTTTGATTCACACAGAACCGTGAGAACCAGCCCCGTATGTGAGGCCATGTTTTTCATTCTATTCAGTCTTTGTATATTCAAATTCTCCCCGTTTCAGCTCTTGCTGTTCTGCCAGCTTTCCATGGCATTGATGGCTTCTCTGAATTAATAAGTGTTTTGCAATCACTGAAAAGTTTTTCTCTACACTCCCACCCCCAGCACCGGGTCTTATCCATATTGATTTTTTTTTCCTTTCTCTTTCCTCTCTAGCTATTTCTCAGATGTTTTATTTTGTAAAGTGTTAATAGAATTTTTCTTTCGCCCTGACATTTTATCTATTCAGGAGGTCCCTGCGAGTCCCATTGTGCAACTGGACTGTAGAGGCAAGAGCTCTAGTCTTTACAACAATGGTTGCCCTAAAAAAACATACACAGATCCTCCCCCTCGCTCCCCAGGGTGGAGTGAATGTTGAGAGGGTAGCTCAGAAAACATCCAAACTTTGGAAGCAAAAGAAGGAGCCAAGTACACCCTGTTGGGGGGTGGGGGGCGGGGCATTGAAAATATGTTTTTTTTTTTTTAATTCAAAATATTTATTTCCTAAGGGGATCTGAGTTTCAGTACCAAAACATGGCCAACACAGAAGGGAGGCTGTTTTCCTTACTGTTAGGCATTTTTAGCTCAAAATAAGCACTTGGCAAACATCTTAGAAAATATGGAGATGGGTGTGAAACAGATGTCACGTTTACCTGCGCAACACCCACCCACCCGCACCCCAGGCATTGGAATTCTTATCGAGGCCCTGGGGTCTGAGTCTGCAGTACCATATGCTCAAGTGTGACTGCTCTGTGTGCAAACAAACCAGTTGATCTTCTGGTGGTTTTGCTTGAATGGTGCATGGAGGCAGACGGCTGTGGTGTGTGTGGCCTCAGCAGGTGCTTGGGGGACCATCAAGCCTGCCTGGCTGGGGGTGCAGGGGCAAGATCTGGTGAAGTCACCCCATCCCCAGCCTAGCACCACCTACTCCCCTCAGCCTGGTACCCGACAGAGAGAGTGTAGCTCCCTGCTGGCAGAGCAGTCACCATGCAAGGCCATTTTCTTCCCAGTAACTGACTTTAGAAATGGGGACCAGAAGGGGAAGGCCCCAGGAGCCTGTTTGTTCAGACTCGGTTGCTTAGCAACAAAGGGGGGGCCCTGACTCCGGAAGGGATTTTTAAGCTAGGCCAGTCCCTTCGAGGTTTGTGACTTGCCTACCCCCTCTTCCGTTCTTACCTTGACTTTGCTTTTCCCCCTGTTCTGTTTGATAGCATCTAGAAAAATAGATTTGATTTGTCTGGAGGCAGCATTTTAAACCTAGTTTTTATTGCTTTGCCCGGTGTCTTCCCCTCCGTCAGAGATTGTTGTCTGGGAGGGGTGAAGAATGAATAGGCTATGATTCACTTTCTCAGCTGGCTTAGCTCAGGCCCCCAAACTCATTTGTGAGTCTTTGAGCTCCGATGAACAGTGCTCAGTCCCTCCCAACCACACACGCATGCACATACTGAAATTGCTCCAAGCACAGAGCCCTTTGGCTAGCAGCTTTGTCCGGGACCACATGGGTTGAGTTGTAGTTTTACTGCCAATCTTGGGCACAAAATGAATGAAGAGACCAGGCTGCCCACCTGGCTAAACCAAGTACAGTCCCCAGGTGAGTAGCTAGGACAATACCTGTACAAAAAGATTTGTATTTTGAAGAAGAATAAAGAATTGGATCATAAGTACAGACAGTGGAATTCAAAGCCAAATCTGGTTCAGTGAGTGTGACTTTCTTAAGGTCTGCATGGGAACAGAGTGCAGATTCTGAAAATCTTACTGCTAGAAACATCGGGAACGGTTGCAGGATGCCTAGAAAGACTGAGGGAGGAACGGACAGAGGATGCCTTTGGTGTTCTCTTCTCTTTGATCTTTTTGAAAAGGTCCTAGCATGAATGTATTACTCTGTGGGGGCAGCCATGACAAAGTGCCACAGACTGAATGGTCAAACAACAAAAATTTATTTTCTCACTATTGTAAGGCTGGAAGCCCAAGATCAGCAGTATTGGTTTCTTCTGAACCCTCTCTCTCCTTGGCTTGCAGACAGCCACCTTCTCCCTGTGTCCTCATGTGGTCTTCCCTCTATACCTGACTGTATTGAGATTTCCTTTTCGTATAAGAACCCCCTAGTCAGTACTGGATCAGGGCCCACCCTAATGATTTCATTTTAACTCAACCTTTTGAAAGACCCTGTTCCCAAATATAGTAACATTCTGAGATACTGGGGGTTAAGATTCCAACATCCAAGTTTGGAGGGGGCACAAATCAGCTCATAGCAATCAAGATATTAAATTGCCATTGTTCTCTCTCTCTGTCTCTCTGTGACTATCATAAAAATAAATAAATAAATAAATAAATAAATAAATAAATAAATAAATAAATTGCCATTGTGTATAACTGGAAAATATTTTAAATAATCCACTGAAAGATAATTGAGTAGGCCATAGTTTCTCACTTCATGAAATATTATACAGCAGTCAAGATAGTATTTGCAATACCTCACACCCACTAGGTTGACTACTATCAAAAATCCCCCAGAAAATACCAAGTATCGGCTAGGATGTGGAGAAATTGGAGCCTTTGTGCACTGTTGGTAGGAATGTAAAATGGTGCAGCTACTGTGGAAAACAGCAGGCAGTTCCCCCAAAAATTAAAAATAAAGTTACCATGTGATCTAGCAATTTCATTTCTGGGTATATATACAAAAGAATTGAAGACAGGGATGTAAGGAGATATTTGTACACTAGTGTTTATGGCAGCATTATTCACCATAGTTAAAACCAAGAATCCATTGATGGATGAATGAATAAATAAGTTGTGGTATATACATGCAGTGGAATATGGATGAACCGTGAGGACATTATGCTACATGGAATAAGCCAATCACAAAAAGACAAATACTGTGTGAATCTACTTATATGAGATACTGTAGTCCCATCTTATTATGGCTTCATTTACCTGCAGTCAACCGTGATCCTAACACAGACGATCCTCCTTCTGGTGGATTATCAGAAGATAAGTAGTAGCCAAACGCTACATCACATGCCTACATCATTCACCTCACTTCTTTTTTATTTTTATTTTTATTTTTATTTTATTTTTATTTTTATTTTTATTTTTTACCTCACTTCTTCTAATCACATGGACATACTATCTCTCTTCATCAGTAACTTTACAATAAGATATTTTGAAAGAGAGGGACCACATTCAATAACTTATATTACAGTATGTTGTAATTGCTCTGTTTTATTACTTGTTACTATTGTTAAATCTTCTATCATGCTTGTTGTATAAATTAAACTTTATCATAGGTATTTATGTCTAAGAAGACACATGGTATATATTGGGTTGAGTACCATCCACAATTTCAGGCAAGCACTAGGGTTCTTGGGATGTCTGCCCTGGGGATGAGGGGTACAATCATAGAGATAGCAGATAGAATGGTGGTTGCCAGGGGCTGGGGGGACAAAGGAGATGGGAGGTTATTATTTGATGGGGTAAAGTTTCAGTTTTACGAGCTAACAAGACTTCCAGACATGGATGGTGGGGATGGTAGTTCAACATTATGAAGGTATCCAATACCACTGAACTGTACACTTAAAGAATGGTTAAGATGGCAATTTTTATGTTTTGTGTATTTTACCATAATAAAAAAAGGGGGAAAAAACAGATAATATTCATGATGTATAGTCATCTGGGAATTATTTGCAATATTGTAATGTTATATTTAAAAAGGGCAAAATTCCATGTACAACATGATTTAAACTATATTAAAATAGGCATAAGGTGGGTTTTTTTTTTCTTGTTTTTTGTTTTTGGCAAAAACTGAAGGGAAATATGTCAGATGTTAACTGTGGCTGTTCTAGGCAGAAGGATGGAAAGGACAGTGATTTTTTTTTTCTTTCTAATTTTGTGTGTTTTCAAATCAGTTTTAATGAGCACCTATGACTTTGATAATGGAAACCAGCCTTCCCCACCGGCATATAGCATTTCATATGTTTTGTTAAAATTCCTAAAGCAGACTCCATTGTTTGTTTTGCAGGTGGAGGACGCAATGCTGATGTTTGATAAGACAACCAACAGGCACAGAGGTAAGAGCCCCAGTGTAAGAAGCATGCCCCTTGTGTTAGATAGACAAGGGCCACCATAGCATGAAGAGTCCAGATGCTGAATGGTTAAAAATCAGCCACGCCCAACCCGTGTTCAGATATACCTTTCTAATCCTGGCTTTCTTAGTCTTTGCTAGACCTGAGCACTAAGTGATCCAAGTAGAAATTATTCATAGCAATTACTCAGCTGAGTTTTCAATTTGCATTGAAGGGGGTAGTTTAGAAGCACACCGTCAATCTGAAGAGCCAGAAAAGAAAAAAAAAATACTCTTGTTGTAGCTTTACTCGACGTGTACAGGGATTGCAGACTTGTCAGTGCCCTTTTGCATGTCTAGAACGTTTAAAGGGCTCTGCACTGACTCATTTTTTTCTCCTGTCCTCTTACTGTCCTATCCGTGTTTTAGAAAATAGATTTCAACTTGGGGGGGTCTGTGAACCCCTGAAATGACACACAAAATGTTTTATGTTTGTGCTTTTCTTGGGAGGCGTTCCTAGCTTTGAACAGATTGTCAGAGGGGTTTCTGACCTCCATGCCTCCCTTCCCCCATAAAGGAACACATTGAAATGATTGCTTTAAACAGAAAATTGGACAAATCTAGAAAATCCTCCCAGAGGAAGTAGAGTCAAAGGTTATGGCTTAGTGTTCCATCTCCCGTTCTCCGGAAGCTCCTGGTTTCTGGGGCTCCTGTGAACAGGGCGTTAATGAGTAGAGCTTCCGAAGGAAGGTGGCAGGAAGCAGCGTTCTTGAGAGGAGCCAGAGTGAGCGGTGTTTCCTTGCCACTTGGATTGCATTTAGATGTTTCTTGTGTTGTTTACATTCTTGCTGTCACCTGTGATTAGAAGCAGTTACCCAGCACTGACTGTATGTCTCTCCTGTTGAGAGCAGGCAGGCTGAGTGAAAGGGAGGAAGGAGAGGGGTGGGAGAAGGAGGAGGGGCTGTCCTGAGTGTGCCTGGCAGTCAGGCTTCCCGTGCGTCCACTGGCAGCATCCTCAGAAGGGACAATGGAAAACTGGGGCATTGATGGTGTATATGTTGAGAAGGGATGGGGAGAGGTGGACAATAAGGAGTAGGGGAGGTGAGGGAAGAAATGTGGAATGATTGTGGAATGATTGCTTTGTCCTCTATGTTGCTCAGCATTGTGATTGCAGAGACTGGCAGTTCATGATTATTCTCCACCATCATCCTTACCTCAGCAGTCCGAGCACTGCTTCCCTGTGCATCATCTGATCTGATCTTCCCTGTGACTTTGGGAAAAATCACTTAACTTCTTTATCTTGTTGCTCTCAGTTTGTTCATCTGTGAAATGGGGATAATTCAAGTACTTCCCTTCAGGGTTGTTTGGAGAGTCTAGTGCGGCCTAGGTTAGCTCTTATTATTACTGTTTTCACTGTCATCACCTCTGTATTGTGCCTGAGGTGACAGAAGGTCAGAGGGGGGTAAGGGACACACCCAAGGTCAGAGCAGGGGCTCCTCCCTAGGACTGCTGATTTCAAATTCTGCTCGTTCTCTGTGGTCTCCACATGGGGATGGGTTTGTTAAGAAGAGCGTTTTCGTCTACTTATTTTCAGGGTGGACAAGGCCCATCCCAGTGTGGCACTGGTGTTCGGTTCTAGAATTCATGTTCCTGGAAGATTCTGGAGTGGCCCCACTCTTTTTTTTGAATGTCCACAAATAAAGGCATTTCTGATCTGCTCCAGGTCAAACCCTGTATTAGAGGAGATAATAAATCATCTCATGCAGCCCTCGAGATGTGCCTGGAAAGAGGTGTGGCATCTGGGGGACCCGAGAGGGCCAGTGACTCTCCTAGTAACAGACTGAGGCAGGTTCACACTGAGGACATTGGGCCCCCGGGCATAGCCCTGAGGAGGTGCCAGGGAATGTTCTCCCTATGTCTAACCCAGATGCCTCTTGCTATGGGTGGAACCTCTTCCCTTTCTCCAAGGTGCAGGGTGCAGTGATGGGGTGGCAGTTCCTCTGTGACTCCTGCTGTGGGGTGGAGGGAGGTCCATTTTATGGCCCCATGCTCAGGGCGGCTTCCAGGATGGCACTGCTTGCTCTTCCACATCATGACTTCTGGGGGGCACTGGCAGGAAGAAGGGTGGGCACAGCCCCTGGTGCATGCTCAAGGGCTGCCCCCAGCCAAGCCAGGGCCTGCCCACTTGTTCTTTTGCCCTACCAGAGCTTACAGTTCCTGTAGTGATTGTGGGACTCCTTGCATGATTTGTGGAGTCAGAACAAGGGGAAAGGTGGGGCCTCTTATTTAAAAATCATTAAGAATTTCAAGGTGACAGCGGAGCATTAGAGTGGAGCCCTTCTAAAAAAAATTTTTTTTAAAGATTTTATTTATTTATTTTGAGAGAGAGCAAGAGAGAGAGCTTGAGCAGGGGGGAGTGGCAGAGGGGGAGGGAGAAGCAGACTCCCTGCTGAGCAGAGCCTGATGTGGGCCTCAATCCCAGGAGTCTGAGATCATGACCTGAGCTGATGGCAGATGCTTAGCCAAATGAGCCACCCAGGTACCCCAGAGTGGAGCCCTCTGAGGATGGGGTCATGCATGACCACACAGGCCACCCATCCAGGGAGCTGGCCTGAGTGGATGTAACCTGCACCTTCCCCTTGGTGGGGTGGGGAAGAGAAGGCAGGAGGGAAGGTGTGCCAAGAAGTTTCTACAAGGAGGCCCTGACATCCTGCCTTCCCTTTGCTCCTGTATGGAAACCTGCTCCCCAGTGTTATTTCTGCACAGACGGGACCTTTGGCCCCTCCATGTTTCCCAGCCCTTCTAAACAGCTGAGAGTTTCTCTTTGACCTGCGTGCTAACACTGGGGTCCTACCTAAGTGGTTCAGAGCATCTAGGAGGGGAAAGAATCAAAAAAAAAAAAAAAGGAATGTGTCACCACAGAAGCACAATCCTACATACGAAACAATGGGCCCCATATCCCTGGCCTGATGGGATGTGCATTTGGAATCAGGTGAGAAGTACACGAAAATAAAATCCCGCCCGTAGCCACCTTGCCCCAGCGTTACCTTCACCTCCTCAGCTTCCCAGTTCCCATTACTTATCAAGAAGAAAGTGCTGCTGTAGCAGAATTTAAGGACACCTCTCGGGCTGGCACGGCTGCCAGCTTTCTTCTTAAAGAGGTCCACGCCGCTAACCGCTGGTGCCGTCACAGTGCCTGCCCAGCACCATCTCACCTAACTCCCAGCGCAGCCCCGTCAGGTAGCCTGGACCCAGGCCTTGTGAAAACCACCCGTGTGCCCTCGATGCTGAGACACTGCCATCTAGGATCATGGCCTGTGCGGCATGGGGTTCGGAAGTCACCACTCCCACTCCTGCCGGCTGTAGGCGGAGGTCAGGACTGAGTTTCCACTTCCTGCCCCCCAGTGGCTGCCCCCTGCCCCTGTCCCCTGTCAGTCCCATTGGGACAGCGTGGTCCACAGTTACATCTGTTCACAGGAACATCTGTACTTGAGCCTCACTAGCACCTTGGGAAAGAAGCCAGGGGGCAGGAGACAGGGAGTCCTCCTAGGATGTGAGGTCTCCCCCGTGGAAGCAAGAAGGTCGTTCAGTGTGTGACTCACACAGAGGTGTGGAGACTCCCCCCACTGTCCCCTTGATGCTTGGCCAAGGCACCTTTCCTCACCTCTCTGACACCCCAGGTTGGTCCTCTGGAAAATGGGGGAGCTGGGATTAATGAGCACCAGGACTAAAGTATGCTTCTGGCTTTTTTAGCCTTTTAGACTGAGAGAGTGTCCAAGATTAAGTCCTTTTTTTTAATGTTGATTTTTGTAACGAGGAGAGAGAGGTGAGGGGTTGTGTTTGGGTCCCCTGAGATGAGGATCAGCATGCAGGAGTGCCCTCAGTGAGCAGCAGGCAGGGGGAGAGGCTGATCTGTGGGGTCCTGGGAATTCTGCAGCTAGCGCTGTCCCCAGCTGGAGTGAAAAGGACTGACCTCCTACCTGATGTTGATCGGTCACAGGATGCAGCCCATTCTGCGAAGCACACTGACCTTGGGCTTGCCCCGAGGACATCCTAGAGGCAACAGACAACTGGGGACCATCTTCCAGGATGATCCCAGCAGATCCCAAAGGGGAATCTGGGTATCCCCATGACAGCACATGCTGTGGGGGTACAGTGGGTCCTGTGTTACCCAGGCTGTGTTAATGTTCTTGGTAGAAACAGCCAATGCTTCCTAGGCAGTTCCATACCCCTGCTTAGCACAGTGTCGGCACGTACTGTTGAATCTTTACGAAGGAGAGTTGAACCCGGCTGCCCAGAGTCCCTAGTTGGATATAAACCCTGCCTGGTGACCCAGAGCCCTTGCTCTCAGCTGCTCTGCAAACATGGTGCAGGGCAGTGATTTAAGGCAGGGCACTTGGCGACTATAGCTCTTGAGCACCTCCTCATTACTGGTCCTTCTCCACCTACCCTTCTTACTGGACTATGATGCACCTCTGTCTCAGATGGAGAAACTGAGGCATCCGGAGTTCTGGAGGGCCGCATAGCACGTTCCTGCAACCAGGTAGGAGCTGAGCTGCAGGTCAAAACTGGGACCTTTACATGAGATTCTTTGTGCCCAAGGGGAGAGAAAGAAGGTGGCTTTCCGATGTCCTCAGAGTCATTTCATTTGCTCTCTCAAAGCTGTTAGAGGTGGTCTGAAAAATATTGGGTTGATCATCAAAGGATTTAATCGTTGGGGGAAAGTTGTTGCTTTATCCTTGCAAAACTCAGATAAGATCTTAAATTCAGTATTAGGTATTGATCCTAGAGTGGGGCTGGAGAGGAGGGGCCAGAGGGAAGGCATTACAAAGTGCTGTCCTTTCCAGTTCGCCCTTTGGGAGGCAGAAGGCTGAGGGGTGAGCCAGAGAGAGGGACAGAGGGAGGGTGGAATGGTTTGGATCTGCCCCCACTGTCCTCACGTCAGCCCTGTTTGAGAGAGTGGAGGAACATGGGGATGTCATGCTCACCTTCTTGTCAGGGAAGGGA